GTTTGTCTGTCTCCTTGTTCCTACATACATTCTGTATTAGGATAATAGTGCAGAAGTTGAAACCCTTCTGAAATGAAGGATGAAGGTGATCAGAATCTGTTTTGGAAGTTGCGAATAACGTTAAAAATAAGCTATGAGGATTTAAAGCGAAAAGAGAAAGAAGGAAAAAGAAACATTAATAGTCAAGGTTGTGAGTTCTCAGTGATGAGAGGATGCTTGGAAAAATTGGAGAAATCCCGTTGTTCAAGGTGTTGAAGGATTTCCTTGCCGTCGTCCGCCATGACCACACCCCTATTGTAGCTCCATGGGTCAGAGACTTCCGTTATGTGGGAGGGCATCAGAGCCAACCGTGCTGTGTTCCGACCTCAGATATGCGACCGTCACTACCGCTACAGGGGGGGGGGGCAAAAAAAGACATTTTGCCTATGTCGGACTTCGGCCCTTTTTTCTTCGCAGAGATTGCCGTCGTTGACGGGAGTTCCTCAGCAGAGTATTCCTCTATAAGTGAACGCAGGCCCTCCTTCACTGCCCTCACCGTCTTCAGAATATGACGTCATCTGTCACCGTCGTCAGGCTCAAGGAGGTCTACCGTAAGAGCTTCAGCCTGAAGCTCTTACGCAATTTCGTGAATCGATTTAATGTTGGATAGTTTTCTAGAGGCATTAGCTACCACTATGCAAATCCCCTCGGAAAACTAGCTTTCCAGTAAAGGTCGTTATGGTACACGATCCTTCGAAGACCCCATTGAGCTCGACCAGTGCACCATGTTTCCAGGGCAAATTCTTCTGATGCCGTCCACGTAGGTGGCCACCATAAGATTTTCTTATAGAATGGAATGCTCTTTAATAATAAGTTGGGACCATTCGGTCTGAATTGAGCAAAGTGTGCTTAAATCCATCTGAAAGTGGAGACAAAATGTCTTTTTTTATTGCCCCCTCCTGTATAGTTTCGTATATTTTTCTATCCCTATTGAAAATCTTTACATCTTCCTGAAAAATCCTATTTTCGATCAACAAATACAACTGTTTTGAAACCACATTATAAGACGCTATACCGTCTGACTGTTCTTGACACTGCTAGCGGTATCATGAGTTACGTTTCCTCTTATTGACAGGACCAAAAGTTATACACGCAGTGTCTTTAAGCAGAATTGATTCTGTACTGGATCGTGTTTCTTTTTCGCCCTACAATGCTTTTTTCGGTTTAATTGGAGAAGTTACATTGACTGTTTTCAGAGCAATGTCAGGGACTCCACCATTATCCCACCAATTGCCTCGGATAAATAAATTTGTTGGAGAGGCTTTTGAAGAGCAAGCGATTTCGAGGACGATTTTCGTAAGCAGCGAAGAAGGTATTACAACGATGACAAAGGGGCAATATTTTCCTCTACGAATACTATGTGCATCCTTAAGAAATGTTTGAAAAAAGATCTACATCAAGACTGGACTTAAAGATTATGTAATATCTGTGTGTTGAATAAACGCGAGATAGGCTATGGGAAATAGTGAAAACAGGAAGAAAGAAATGAGAGAAAAGTTTCATTATCTCCTATGACTCCCCTTGGCCCATATGGCATAACCAATACCTTACGCGGAACGATGCAATGGATACGACCATTGACGCCGTCTAAATTTGCCCCGATACTGTTCCTTTATCGAACTGTCCTTTCTTCAATATTTTCGAAAATTTAGGGTGGTGGGGGAGGGGGTCGGAAGTTTAAGGTTATATTCTTCGCTCTTCGGGAATTTTTTGAAGGTGAGGCGTCTTGTTCAGTTCTGCAAGTCGTAGTGTCTTGTAGTTTTGTGGTAGTGATTGTAACTCTCATTCTCCTATCATGAGGGGCAGTGTGCGTGGTAACCAGGCTGTTTACTCAGGGTCAGGCAGAAGCAAGCCCATAGGAAGATCAAGATTAAATTCAAATAATAATAAGGGGTAATTTATTGCAACACTTGACCATATGTTGCTTTGAAGCAAGCCACTTTTCTGTCTTAGGTTAAATCAGGTTATTTAGAGGTCAATGTAACGCAACCGGTTTATTGTTTACTTTTAAGATACGACAGAGAGAGAATCGAGGGTGATTCTCCTGGTCGGGCCACAATCGGCTAGAAAGACGTCTCTGATAGATTTCTTCTGCAATTACTTCTATGGAGCACAACTGGATGAGCCCACACGTTATCATATTGCAAATGAGGTAATGAACTCACTTGAAGTAATCACTCGAATTTCCAGGAATCTTCTGAAGTTCCCGGACTGGGTCACCTATCCGTGTGACCGAGTCTGACAAGATAGGGGCGGTTGTATTTTTTAAAATAGCAATTCAGTTTTGAAAGAGAATTTTTTCTGGTAATTGGGAAGGGTCTGCAGGAATAGTAAAATATTTCACGAAAAAATCGGCGCATTTTTTCCAAGATTTGGGGTCCAGTTCTAAGGGTGCCACTAGCATGAACAGGTTCAGCGATGCTGACTTCATGGACACCATCAACTATCGGAGGTGGGGAAAGGGGTCGCGTATATGAATTTGCCCTCACGCCAGGTTGAGGACCAGCTATGAGTCTTCTTCTAGTTTCCTAAAATATTTCGGTAAAAAATTATCAAATTTCTTGCAGAAATTCGATTCGACGACACCAGAGAAGCAGATTATCACCTATGTGTTCAACGACACCAAAATGGATTTCAGACCAATTGTTATTGACACGCCCTCCACGAGTGGACCTCAGTGAGCTATAAACTGCGATTTTTTTGCCCAGGAAAAGACCTTTAAAAATGAAAATTTCAATTCAGCGGCGAAGAAAATCGTCGAATACTCGCTGAATGGTTGAAAGAGAACGACAAGTTAAAATTGGACACCATCGGTGTTGTTTTCTCGGCTTACTCCCGGCTCACCTCAGAAGAAGAAGAGGGATTACAGAAGGCAATTATAACCACTTGTACTAATTTTTCATCATTATTCTGCATTACATTTTATTCGCTTCACAAAATTATAACGTTTTCTGTTGAGAGTGGTTTTTTCAAGGCTCTACAATTGTTCCCGTCACATATGAGAGTGAAGCAGGTCGTGTTCATGACTGGTAGCGACGGCTCATCGCTTCCTGTTGGCTTGCTTCGCAGGTGATCTTCAATTACCTTTTGGCTACCTATGCTATTTCAAAAGTTTACCCAGAATAATAAAGAGTAAAGGGCGAAGAGGAAAGGTATAGAGGAAGTGTTTCTACTTCTCACGCGCATGTGTAGGGGATCGAATTTGGGATCGGAGGCCGCTCTGGCTAACCTAACCTAGAACGCCACTCTGAGTTCAGTCAGTTTTCACCAGACTTGTTCAGGGAAAAGAACGAAACATACAGCTGAAACGGCAGAAAGATCTTAAAAACACAACGGACACGGAGTACTTAGTACCTCTGTTTCAGAAAACCAGAACCGCGTCGGGTGCAGACTGCACACCACAAATGACGACGCCTCCAAGTAAATCTGGTACTAGTGATAGCTGATTTTGGTAAATGATAGTTGTAATTAGTGACAACTGATAGAATACAACTGCAACAGGCTAATCATTTCATTGGCAGAAAACATTTACATTTTGTGGAGGCCGTCGTCACTTGTGGTGTGTGGTCTGCACTCAACGTGCTTCTGGTTCTGAAACAGTGGGTATGGTCATTGCCTCAGCAACTGAATATCATTCAGATAATATCATAGATAATGGTAAGGATGAAGAATAAATATTTGCGTTGATCAATCCCTTTTGGGATGCGGCACGCATTCTACTTCCATTTGTACATTCGTAGTGGCGTTTGAATGCGATGTGGCCTATACAATGACTTGCGGGGCCAGCCGATGTACAAGTCAGTGTTTTTATCCTCCCAGACAAGTCTGGTACCAATTAACCGACCCCGGAGGGATGGAAGGCTTGGTTGGCCCGGGCGACTCGACCCAGGATTTGATCCCCGGACCGCTCGCGTGGTAAGCGCGCCACTTGCCACTACACCACTTCCGCCCTGTTAGATCCATATTTCGACTTTCTTTTCAATTTTCCATTGATATCCCGGTAATTTTTTCGACCGTTTTGAATTTTCAACACAAAATAGTCCTTTTTCAACATCATTCTTTCTGATCGCAATTTTTTCATGTAGGTTCAATCTCGACAGAGCTAACGTTTATAAAGTAAACACATCATGCATTTTCCAACGTCCTGAAGGTGTGTTTGCTTGCTTTTGTCGTTAATACTATGAAACCTTTTGTAAAAAAAATCCGTCAAATTTCAGATGACCCGCTTCAAGAACACCTTCGTGGCAATTACTGGCGTATGAGTGTTGCGAATTTCGAAGCCCTGTTCTCTCGCCTGAAATATGAACAACCGCCTTCACATTTACATAGAACCTTTGAGATACCCCAGGCTGCCACGGTCAGCCTAGGAGAATCCTCAAGGTCGTCGCAGGCTGCCACGGTCAGCCTAGGAGAATCCTCAAGGTCGTCGCAGACTGCCACGGTTAGCCAAGGAGGATCTTCAAAGTCGTCGCAAAGCTCTCGAGATACTGTTATACGCAATATGAGCGGCATTTCCGAAGATTCAGTAATGAAAGGGCCATATCTGCTGCAGGGTAAAACCAGTGACAACAACAACGTTGCTCAAGTACAGTCGAGCTCTCAGAAGCCATCAGAGCTATTAGACTATCGTATGAATAAAACTAGCAGAGAAGAAACTATCACCACTCACTCGGATCACATCACAGAAAGTGTTCACCGCTTGGAGACGAGGCCTGTGGAACACAAAGCAACGCCAGAATTCGTTACTCAAAGTGTTGAATCACTTTTGAGAAAACCCATCACCGTCAACGTAAGTTCGGAGTCATCAGTACTTCTACTTGTTATTTTAAAGAAAGGGTCAAAGAAAATTGTTCTCTCTCGATATAGTAACAAGTTCAATCACAGTCCTTCAATACATTGACGACAGCGCGTGTTTGGGCTTCTTTGACCACGTAGGACACGAACAGTTTGGCGGGCGCGATATTCGTGACGCGCAACCGCGTCACACTGTCCCGCAATGTGCTTTTCCGGAACTTGACGCTAAAATTAGCAAACAAGAGTACAATAAAACTCAGGAGGGAGAATCAGTCGGCAGCAATCTGTCGGCACCATTTAGGTGAGATAGTGATTGCATTAGCGTAAAATTAGTGGCCGTAAACCAAGTTGGACATGTCTGTTCAGAGAGTGGAGAGTAGGGAAAGTCACTTGAAATGCATGAAAACTGGAATGCTCTCATCCACACTACCTTTCTTAAAAAGCACTTTCAAAGTGCGTGCAGCGTGGCCGGCTCTAGCCCGCCCCCACTTTCAAAGCCCCCGAAGCAAGCAGGTTCAGCGGCGTGTTCAAGCATATCAAACCATTTCATGGACCACGGCGTTCATACTTAGATTAGTGTGTGATCTAAAGAACCAATACAAACAACTTGGAAAGCAGCCGCGCATGCGCGCGAAGGCGTCTCAATGTCGTCAATGTATTAAACCTTTCTTTTGAAACAAACCGAACATTCAAACTTCCCCGCACTTTCCATTTTCATCGTTGCAGGTAGTTACAAATCATTTTTACCTTACTTTAGGAGCATTCATCAAGGAATGTATCTGAGACTACGAGTCGATTTTCAAACGGCACAATTCCTGCTGCGGATGGAATTAGCACGTCTGGACTTGGCACTGCAACAGAGGATCGTCTCCACGAGCTGCAGCCTCAAGTAGAAAACGCAACAGTAACGAGGTTGAGCTTGGTACTTGTCTTTCCAAAAATTCTCAGAAGACACGCGCTTTCCTTTGTTTTCTTCTTTACTCGCGTTCGCACACTCGTTTTTCCTTTCCTCGGAGCGCTGCGTCTCTCCGTCACACAACGGCCGACGTCACTAAGGAGATTCCTGTTTTCTTGGCGTGTTTTACTCTTCTCGTTGATATTTCTCATTGCACTCGTTCTTAAATTTTTGATCAGAATAACACACCAATACGATCTCGACCCGTGCCTTTAACTCACTGGGCTCGATCCTGCACCGCACTCGGGCAAGGAGTGATGATACTAATGTAGAAGGCTTTGATTGGATTGACTCGCTACGGTGGATTCCATGGCAAATGAAACTAATCCAATATCATGCTTCTATCGATAAATACCGCTGGCTGAGTAACTACCTTAGTGAAACTGCCTATAAAAGTGGATAAGGACATGCCGCAATAGTTTTTGACTACCTCGAGTTGTGACGATGAAGAAGCAGGAATGGAAATGTTTTCGACGGGTATGTGCAAAGTAAGCAAACCAGCCCTTTTGGCGTTTCTGCTGGGGCCGTATGCTGAATGTTGGGGAGGGGATGGGGTCCCCGACGGTCGACGGACTACTTCAACTCGGTCCTTAAAACCGCCTCAATTTGATGCTTACCTCAGGACTAACAAGGGAGGTCGTTCAGGGTGTGCCGAAGCTTTTTCAAAATGGTTTCTTGCATGATATTGGGGCACATGCGGGGACCACAGAACCATGGTTCATTTTTCCTGAACGGCCCTCTGAATACCAGAAAAGGGGTCCCTAGTTCGATTCCTCGTGGTGACAAATTCGCGCAAAATGGAGTTAGCATGAATAATCAGTATCAAATTCATGATTAGGAACGTCATTAGAATTACCTTTTGCTTAGGTATGTGTATGAAGTGGCAACACGATCACACAAGAAACACTATGTTGGCGCTGGTGCGGGAGATCCTGCGCCTACAGAAAGAAAGGCCGGGTTAGTTTTCTGTTGTTTGCTTGAAATCGAACCTGCCAATTTTGTTTGCTTCCTTTTAAGTTCTTCAGCTCTTATAGTACATTTTACGATATTTTTATTCCGAATATTCCGCTTGAAGAAGCCTAATTGGAGAAGCAAAGCGGAGATCTTCACAGTTTCTTGCTCCCCTTGAAAACATGAATCCGGCCTACCCATGCCGAAGAATATCCATCGTTAGCTCTCTGGGCAATCTTTGGGGGACATGTACAAGGGGAAGGGGGCAAAAAAAAGACATTTTGCCCAGGTCGCACTTCGGCTTTTTTTCTTCGCAGAGATTGCCGTCGTTGACGGAATTTCCTCAGCAAAATATTCCCTAAATGTCCCTATAAGTACACGCAGGCCCTCCTTCACTACCCTCACCGTCTTCTAGCTCTTACATAATTTCTTGGATGTGCAATGACGTCCTAGGGACATTAGCTCTAACTATGCAAACCCCCTCGAAACCCGCCCTTCGGAACCCGTCGTAACGGTACACGATCAGTCGAGAACCCCATTGAGCTCGACCAGAGCACCATGTTTCCGGGGCAAACTTTTCTGATGCCGTCCACGTAGATGGCCACTATGAAGATTTTCTTATGAAATGAAATGCGCTCTTCAATTCTATTGGGTGTCTCATAATTACTGTCGCAATTTCGACACTTTTGTTTATTCAAGTTTTATCTCTTCTGGGAAACAACTGACTAATAGCATAACCACCATCATGGTCACTGATATGCGTGCATTTACTAGTGGGCGTTTGGAAGCTTCCAGCCCAGAATGAAGGAAACTGGGGTTGAAGAATTTGGAGAAGTCGTTTTTGGGGTGACCGCAATCTTTAACTTTCTTCTCTGGCAGATGCTTATTCAAAGCGCAGGGGAGGCGATAGTCCGATAGAGCGATGCCAATGCTATATGGTGGATGAGGTATCGTGGCCCTGGCTATCTCCCTCAGAACGTGGTGAGTTGGCATTGCAATGTGAGGTCTGGTGTACATTCGGAGGAAGGAGGATCTGAGACGTTTCTGACGATTCTCTCGCAACCCCAAAGCCAGCCAAGAGGGCTATTCCGCGCTGACTTTAGCAATGCTTGTCTTCATACATTGAAGTGGTTCCCAACCAGGCCACCTAGCGAATCCAATAAAACGAGATCGATATTCTCAGAAAACGGAGTTCGGGCTTTGGTTGAGCTGGTGCTTCCTAGGCTGCGAGGCAGCCATAAGACGTGCCGCATGTTGTTGTCGCAGTGGACTCATGACTCATTTCCACCGGTGACCGATTAGGGAAGACTCTGCTTTTGCCATCCAAGAATGGGTTTTCCCCAGGTGATCAGGCGTGCTTCCCGCTCATGGTCGGCCGGACCATAAGGTTTCCATCAAAACTTCACTCTGCAGCAGTCCTTGCCATACTGATGGCGTGTGCTGGTGCATCGGCTGCGCTCAGGTATCTGCTACAATACCCTGGTAGCAACGTGCGGAGGCACTCCCAATTTAGGGTGCAAGGGGCGCTCATCAAAAATGACCGCAGGCCCAGTATGAGGTTGAAGTTCATAGCTCGTTTCGTCTTTGCCGTTGCGATTGGTCCACTAGCTCAGTACCCTATCAGTAGCAGAGACTGAGTCAAACACAGCGCTGATCTTCTCTGTTGTCCTCCTTGCTACAGAGTTCATTTGAGGATCGTAAAGCATAATCATTGATTGCAGTCACTGACCTATTTTTATTACTAGTTGAACCCGTTAAGGGCTTGCGCTTCCGAAACCACGCTGTTAAGGCACTTGAAGCATACTTCAACATACTAACGTATTTCGCAATGAAACGGTCTTAGACGAAGGAATTTGAAAAATAGAAATGCGCTCTTCAATTCTAAGTTGGGAGCACACGCTTTGAGCTGAGCAAAGTGTGATTAAATCCATTTGAGTCTGGAGACAAAATGTCTTTTTTATTGGCTCCCCTAAACACAAATCAACGATATGCAGCTATTTCACGAACTTCAATCGAATTTCACAATTAACAATCTTATTGAACTTGTTCAGCTCTCTAAAACATAATAGTTCTAATGGTTCGTTATGTTCTAACGTTGTATTTTACGGTTAACCAGAAGTTATCTTTCACGACGCTTTTTGGCAAACTACAAAATATACTAGGGATACTAAATAGGTCGTGCTTCGAACTTGCTTTTAATCATAAATTTCTAGTTCTTCCTCGCGGGTCTCTCGTGAAACAACTATAGACGATCCATACTACCCAGTTGTGGTTCGTCCCAGTGGAGCGTCGAGCACTGGAAGACACTCCTCATACGAAATACGTCCTGAAACAACTATGACAAGTGGAACAAGCAATAACGGTTCAAGGAAAACACCAGTGGAGACACTAATCGACTTTCGATCTGAGAATGGGCCGCCAGGAACGTTACTGAATCGCGAGCCAATACCATATTTTTCATTACGGAAATCTCGTTCTGCCGGTCGCATTGACACGAACACGACGCCTGGTGGAAGGTGAGTGCATAGGGCATCATGATGACTCTAAGCAATCAACTTTATGTGATTCAGGGAATTTGTGGTCGATGTGCGCAGGAACCCGGAGTACACTCTGAAGGATGCGCGGTACCGACAAGTGCCGCCGTCGCACACCGGAAGTGAAATGAACGCAGGAGACAATGTATCAAATCATACCACTATGTCCACAGGGGTAGTACCCCTTTCAAAAATCGTTGCACGAGGTCCCTCTGAACGTAGTCAAGGCTTTGGCATGGAAAACGTGAGGATGAGAAACAGCGATGAATTATTACTCAGGTATGACTGCACACATCAACCTTGAATCTTTACGTTCAATATTTGAAGTCGTATTTTGAGACTAGATCATTGGAACAGCCCAGAAAGGTTGCTTAGTTTGCAACCGTAGAGAGAGGGTTACCCTTAAGGCTATTTGGAGGGGTGCTGGAGGCATGGGGCGTGAATTAGGGCACGCCTCGTGAATCGTTGTAAGCAGGGTCAACCATCTGTTGTCTAGTTCTCAATGGGGCAAGGAGGTGAGCTGAGGACGTATTTGTGTGCAGTGAATAATAGGCCTAGTCGCTTTCAAGCTTCTTCTTGATAGTGTTTTGAGCCACCGCCTTTTTTTACAGTAAGCTCGAAATACCCTCTGTTTCGGGAAACAAAAAGAGCGTCGAATGCAGACCACACACCACAAGTGACGACGGTCAAGAAAAAGAAAAGAGCCACTTTTTTCTTGGCCGTCGTCAGTTGTGGTGTGTGGTCTGCACTCGACGTTCTCCTCGTTTTTCGAAATGGAGGGCATGTTTTTTGGAGTGAACGCGAAATAGGGATTTTGAGAGGTGCCAGCGCCACTCCGCGACCAAAGTGACCGCTTTTTGGTATACAGTATGGTATTCCGGAGCACCAAAAGAGTTTCATTTGTAGAGAAAGGGACGGTGAAAGGAGAGGTTCTACTCCGTCATATACACAGCGCTATGTTCAAGCAATTGGAACAGTTCCTCTGTACGATCAGCCTCCTGGTGAAGGTCCGTCCCAACTGATCCATTTTCAAATTATCTCGTCTATAGGGAATATTGAATTTGATTCAGATATGGATAGAAGTGAATTTGTCACCGCAGAGGCTATGAGAAATCAGAATCAGCGTCCGATAACCCATATAGAAGTGAACAGGAAGCCAAACGCTCAGGTATGGAAGGCTCCCTTATATCACTGGACAGAGCGAAGTCTTGGATTTTGAAAACAGCTCCAAGCAAATTTTTCATAAAAAATAAAGGAGGGGTGGGGGACAGGGTCAACCGTCCGTTGGACAAAGTCCAACGCATGACGACGAGAGTAATGCCGAGAGTGAACGTACGCACGGAGACACAGACGGCTCGCGGGTGGCGAGAGTGAATGCCGGCGCGGAGAGCGGTCAACGTCGGTCCAACGTCGGTCCAATGTCGGTCCAACGTAACCCTGGCGGAGGAAGGAGTTTGTCGCATACAACCCCAGAGCTCATAATAGCGACAGAATACTGTTTTCACAGTGTTGATTTCAGGAGATAGGAATAAAGTCTAACTGCTTCTACAATTGATTGCTTTGTTGTCATTTTCCAGTGCACTTTGCACATGAAATAATTTGAAATATTTACCTTCAAATTAGTTGCTGTTCTGCGTAAGTCACAAGTGACAAGTAACCACAAAACCGTTGCACAAGCTTACAAGTGTGTGATTATAAATTAGAAAGAACTACTGTAGCCCAAGTGTGTAAATCCGTTCATGGAATGCACCAAGCGTTCCCGTTGATGAGAAGCCGGGCAAGTGATTACCATTCCGGATGAAGCGACAAATTGGAACGTTGTCAACGATCTGCCTGCCCAATCCAAAAGAATTCTGTTGGAACACCGAGAGCTCCAAAGTTTCGTGACAGTAGTGGGTGTTATGTAACAGCTGTGACGATTGACCGTACCCAATTACAAAACACAACACACTTTTCGTAATTAACCATTTATTGCATATTATATACAAAATGATGATTGGCAATGAGCCAATCAATATACAAAAGGTGCTAGAATCTACTACTGTAGATTCTAGGCTTCAACCAAGCTAGGGAACGGGGACTGTCCGCAATTCACCTGCCATCTTGTACGATTGAACCATCTTCTCGCCGAGGATGTTCAAACGTACACTTCCTTCTGAACACAGAAGGGCGACCATCGCGTGAGCCACGCTTAGGCCAACGTGCATCTGTAGTCGTCTTGTACGAACTACTGCACAACTACTTTCCACACGGGGAAAGATCCACACTTCAACAAGTGAAGAGAACGAAGCTCGCATCGGGCGACGCTTCGGAGTCAGGGGAGCCCTCTAGCACGTAGAGTTAATCACCTAATCGTCCGCAACGATCTCGGGAAACTCCCCTCTCGTTTCCGAGAGAGACCGATCTGCTCACATCCCGTGAGCTCGGCAAAACTCCAGACTGACTGATCAGCTCGATCAGAAGACGGATCGACAGTAGATGGGGGCGTGGCTTAGGTTTACAGCCATGTGAGAGAATCTCAAGAATCTCAAGTACCTAAGGATACACCTAGGGATACTAGTCTGCACCTGCATGCACTTTTACAACCTGCACGCGGCCCCATCTCAATCCGAGATATTACTCACAAGTTATCTAAACTTGGATGATACAGTAAAACTGACTTAGGTTACCCATATACTGCAATTCGCTGAAAATCTGTTTTGAGATTCCCAAGAAATAAAGAAAAAACAGCAGGAACACACATTCATACATAGAGTAGGCAGCAAAATAACAAAGAATAACTAATGAATGGTATCAAAAGTAAGCAGGAATAGATATACGCGATTTCGGGAAACGAGAAGAGCGTCGAGCGCAGACCACACACCACAAGTGACGACGGTCAAGGAAACCCGGCTTTTATTCCTTGGCCGTCGTCACTTGTGGTGTGTGGTCTGCAGTCGACGTTTTTCTCGTTCTCCGAAGAAAGGTAGGAGTAATTGTTACTGCGATGCTTCTAGAGTTGCCATGTTTCAGGGTTCTGTCAGATCGTATCAGCACAACGATTCTGATTATGGCGACGATTGGGGTGAGGAGACAAGAATTGTGCACAAAGTTCATAACGTTGGTTTTCTTTTCAAAAGTTCAATTAAATTACTGAAAAAATTTCCATTTTCCACAATACAACTTTTAACACTTTGTGAAGCACCAAACAGACGAGGATTTATTACTAAGGGAATGAAACGGGGAAAGAATAATAATTTTTTCAATTAACACATGGGGAACTGTAGAAAGCATCGTTAGAAAAACTTTCAACAGTTAAATAAACAAATATTTTTACAAAATGAAGTCCAAAGCATGTCAGACTGCATAGGTCCGATCTTTACGCTTAGGTCCTATAGAAAAATCAAATCTTATATGAGTTTCCGGTTTGCCCACCCTCCACCATGTATAATAGAACCGGAGTAACCGTGATTTTTTGATTATAGCCTAATCTACCATAAAAAGGCTCCATAGAAAAGTCACCAGCGGCGCGGACGCGATTGCGTGTTGTACGTCACCTTGACCTCGGAACGGAGACGTGGAAACCAGCAAGAGCCAACGTCGCTAGCAACTCTTCAATACATTATGTACTGCGAGCATTTGTCTTTCTCTAACTTAACTGTGTAGTAAGTAGTGGTGTAAGTAGAAATCGAAATCGGAGAATGCACTCAACAGAATCCAATAATTGAGCACCTTGAATGCTTACACATGAAGGCATTGACTTCCAATCTCGTTCTGATCGAGAGAAGTGTTAGCGGCAGTGGCTCGGCTCCTTTCGTAGCTCTCGTCTCAGGTCTGACGTCACCAACACGCGCTCGCGTGCGCGCCGCCGGTGAGCTTTTCTTTCCCTCCCCTTCAACCCCGAAAAAAATTTGCCCTTTTCTCTTCTGTGAGATTCGACCCATTTTTCCCTAATTTTGTTTGTGGAACCATATATACCAGACCATAGACCATATAATTGTGATTTTTTGATTTCGGCTAATTCCATATGTGTGCCCTCGCTCCGCCTTCCATACGTATTCGACCATCGTCTTTCGTTTGTCTCTATCCACTTTTCCGGTCTCCAGAGCTCCCTATAGCGAACTATGAATTTTTGTAGGAAAGCTCCACCCTTTGTGAGCAGTTCCTCAGACATTCCAAGCATGCTTAGCTGTTTCGCCTCATCTTTACCAAGATTATTCCCAGTTTTGCGACTTTCTTGCAGCCGATTAGTGGACTGTGGTAAAAAGGACCGCTCGCTCGCGAAGGGATCACTCTTCCGGTACCGATCCACTGCTCATTCTTTTTTACCGGACTCTAGTTCCAAATTCGATCCATCCTCTCAAGTTATCAGTATAAAGTCTATCTTCCCATTTTTATATAAGATTCGGTGGATGAAACTCAAACTTAGCGTTATTTGAGATCTAGTTTACCTTGTTTCACTTCTCTGCGTGGCTACTACTATGACTGAACTTGTTGAAAGTTACCATTTGAATATTTCAGCAGACTCATCCGCTTCCTCAGTTGGTCGAGGAGGTATATCGCAATCGCCATTATCCCGGCACCGCAGAGAAACATGTGAGCGGAACTCCAACTTCAATAACTCGTCCCTCATGTAAGGTTTTCTTTTTAAATATTCAATGGAATATCGCAGAATAATGCACACTTCAAATTCGGTATGTTTAGACATTCCACTTCCATATCCATCCCAATCGTCGGATTTCAACAATCCTCAAGGAGGCCGAACCGGTATCTCTTCTACACATTTTTGTTAGAACATTCCGATCATCGCACTAAAACGCTCATCACACGATGTCCTGATCTGTAATACCAGCGACGAGGATTCTGCACAGTAAACCCAGAAAGGCACCCCCCGAAATTAGGTCAGTGGCAAGCTTGGCCCGATGGATATGTAGCAGTTTACGAGGCCATAAGAAGTGCTGACTTCGCTACTCGAATTGTCAGGCAGAGACGCTAAGGGTCCTAGAACTAAACCTGTGACTTCACTCGTTCACGCCGTGTACTCGTACTCCAGTATAGGGCTAAGTGTAGGAGGGGCATGAACTCCGAAGAAAATAGAAATGATCCACGCACCCTGGAGTTTCTCCTCCCTGTCCAAGGCTTAGTCCATTTTCAACGAAAAGGGCATGTTTTACGCAATTTTGAATGCATTGTTACCACAATGCCCCCTTATATTGCGATAGCGCCGAAAACGAAAACTCTTCACTTGGGCAGCACTCATTTCGATAATACTCGAGGTGGTACAGAATATTTGTCCACATACTTGCTGTGCAAAACGTGCCAAGAATTCGCCCAGCGAGGAGCCCCGCTTAAAAATATGGTGGTCTAACAGCAGCCAGTTTCCCTCTGTGAAACTACTCACTTCAACTTTCAAGACTTCTACTGTGCGATAGCTAGGCAAGGCAGCCTCTCTTATGAAAAAACTGAAACAGTCCCCATTCTATGGGCTCGTTCTCAAAGTCAATGGACATGACGGCCAGAAGGCGGGCCGCTCTGATGAAATCATTGGTTCATATTGGTGGAAGGAAGTTTGAGGGTAGTCTTAACCACTTCTCTTAGCGCGCTGAAAAGTTAGTCCACTGATGACTTCATATGACGTCATCGAAACTGCTCCGCCTTCCATCCATCCTGTTCGTTGCCTTCAAATATAGTGGGGGTTTCATTAGTTCTGTGCTCGCCTACAGCTAACTTATTCTAGAGATGCAGTTCGGCGGTGCAGGAACAGGCCCGCAAGTCAGTGGAAGAAATGGAATGATAACAAGAGAAAATACTGGCATGGAATACGGAGGAGGAGAAATACGATCGCTGAATGTTGGCCAAAATGGGATAATGACGATGGAGAGAACGGGCATGGATTACGGTGGAGCGGAAACACGTCAGCTGGACATGGGTAGAAATGGAGTAGTGACAGTGGATCGGACAGGCATGGAATACGGTGGAGCGGATGCACGTCTACTGAATGATGGAAGAGGCGGAATGCTGACAACAAAGAAAGTTACCACTACAGTAACCAAGTAAGTGACCATTTATTTGGTTTGACTCACCGTAAGCGGCTATACCCACCTAATAAAGGGAGTTTTCCAGGGCTTTTTCGAAACGATTTTTTGTATTTCATAGGATCTCATAGATGGACTCTGAACCCAATTCCCGCTTCGCTTACGCCTAACCATAAAGTAAGGAGAGTCCATCATAGTGGCGTGGGGGGGGGGCAGTGGTGTGTTGCCGCTTGATCCAGGATTGGACTGGAGAAAAACCAATCAGGTATTTCTTCTTTCTAATCCACTGATACAAGATTGACATCAGAGCAGTTTGCGTTCTTTCAAGCTATTGTGTAGGCCGAAGGCATTCAAGCGCTCGATCATCAAATGAAGACCGGGTGCATAGCGCATCCTTAGAAGGAGGAACTCCTTCTTCATCATCCCTTGGAACCAGTGTCGATCCTACCGTTGGTGCTTTTCGGAAAGACTTCACGAAACCCCCCCCCCTTCCAATCAAAAACTTCACAATTTCAAATAGTGACTGTTTCTATAGTATTTCATTCCGAGACCATCGTCGACACACCTAACTCCACCCACTTTTCCCTCCGAAACGGCCGTCGAGTGGGGGGGGGGGAGGGTTGAGTAGGTATACTAAAACGACAAAATTCTTCTCGCTACTCACACTACGCGTTCCTAAACCTCACCCAGCCAATTATCCATGTTCTCTCACGCAACACTCCAGTTTCACATGTGAATTCATGAGGCTAGAGCGAGTACGACCCCCTCCACCTACAAACTCAACAAAATACAACCCCCCTCCCGTTGGTACTTGTCGCAACATAGGATTGACCCTGCTTGGAACTGGAATCTCACTAGTCTTGAGATGAGTTTAGTAGCAAAATACCTTGAAAATTAAAGCGCTGTTTGATCTAGACATGTTCTAAGTCGAGGTAAAGCACTGTGGTGGCAATAGACTCCACTTATCAGGCGTGCTATCCTTGAATCAAACTCCGGGCCTGATTTCAGTCCAGCCTCTGAAGTCAGTAGTCTCGTCTGGCTTCCCAGGTCGCGGTAAGGGCCAAATCGCGCAGAAATGCCACGATAATCCTGAGTTGAAGTGAAATACGTGGCTCATTTCTGAAGGGAAGTAATTGCCCCAGACGGTTCCTGCCCTATGCTTTCTCATAGTTTGTTACTGTCAAAATATGGGTTGCACTGGTGTGATTTTTGCTCCCTTGTCCAGAATTAGTCGAAATGAAGATGCTTTTTTTCAGTACGAAGCGCCAACCTTTTCAAATACGTATTTTGAGGTGGACGCCATCCAATTTTTCAAATTCCCGTGATTGTTGTCTTAATTGTTTGTTCTTTGTTGTAGTACCCTTAGTTGTGATTGTGATAGTGGTCGTCATTGTTCTCGTTGTAGTTTTCAGTTGATTCAAGCTAGACAGGTCTTGAAGCACTTTCGCTGGAGCTTGGTCATCTCATTTATATCAAGTTCCCTTCGTATCCGGCAGCCAGGGGAGTCCGCACTACAGACTCTACAACACAAGTGACGACAGCCTCCAAGTAAATCTGATAAGTGTAGTTCATAGTGATAGCTGATAGTGGTAAATGATAGTTGTAATTAGTGACAACTGATAGAATACAACTGCAACAGGCTAATCATTTCATTGGCAGAAAACTATTACATTTTGTGGAGGCCGTCGTCATTTGTGTTGTGAAGACTGCAGTGGGCACGTATCTGGCCGCCGTGTACAAAGGATAACTATCAATACGTTCCTGCCATACATATGGTCTCGGAAGATACGTGTTATCGGTGTTTGTCAGTATCACTGGAACAACAGTATTTCTGTGATTTCAACAATCCCAATTCAATCGATAGGGTTACGGTGAAACTGCTTAGTTTGCTTTGACAAATATTTGGTAGACGACAATAGGTTCGCAGTTTGCAAAGGGTTAGGCGGCCAATTCTTGCAATAGAGTGCTGTCGCGTCGCGTCCTGACTGAATCACGACGACCAGCTCCACCCTGTGGATTCCGATTCAGCCTCGTGTTCCTCCTGGCACGCCAAAAGTTCCTCAGAATGCTAGCACGCATCCAACCACCCAAGGTTGGCTGTCCGTTGGGATATTTTCATCGTGAAAGACAGTATGTGGTGAACTTGCATATTAGGGTTATGTGGGAAAAAGGAGTTCTCTGATGAGTTGGAAGAATTTTGTACGAAGTAGAAAGTACAAGTACAAAAAAATCCCGCTTCAGCAGTAACCAGTAGAAAAACCAAGTTATAGGCGCTCGCAAAATTGACTTTATTTTGACGACGAAAAGAAGCATTTTAACAAAAGTTTCGTACCCGACAAAACAGTGCAGGTGAACTTCCATGAATAGCATGATGAGAGGGCAAAAATATGAGATCACAGAAATATTCACAGGTCAAAAGCTTGATCGATATATCAAAACATAGCTTAGGTCTAAGTGAGTCTTTGTGTGGCCTTTCGTAAGACTGTAGCCTATGTATTCAGCTTTATCTGTATTGGTATGTGTGTAAAGTGCTGGAAAACTGTGACACTATTGCTTCCACTTTACTCAGTGAAGGACTGACCACGATGGCTAGAAGGTGGAGCGGGATTGATGACGTCATTGAAACACTATTGGTAAAGCAAGCGCATTAGCGCGCTGAGAGGGCGTGGTTGGTTCCACCGGCTAACGTCTTCCACCAATCAAGACGTCGCCAAAATCGCTCCGCCCTTCACCGTCGTGTTCACTGCCTTTAAGTACTCCAAGACATTGCTGTTGTTCTTTCTCTTCACTTGACAATAGTACTTATCATTACTATGTATATGCTTTCAGTATCTTTCGCATTTTCTATCAGTACAGTCACTTATTGTTGTTGAAATCTTCCACCTCATACACTCAGCAAATTTGCATGATTATCAGATGTTGTTAAATTTGTGCATGAGATGAATTTTTTATTTGTTCCTTTTTTGTAGTGGTTGATCATCTGAACTGCATCACAGTCACGTAATCGTTGTGTTTGCATGGCTGGGCACATCGCATGGTTGTTTCCATTTGTAAGAAAACACTACAGAAATGTAGAAACAGGAAATATGATGACTCCGCATGAATGAGTCACAGTGATTGGACTTTTTGTAAACCCACCAAACTTGCCGGAACATATATGAACTATGTGTTTAGCAGAAACTATGTGTAAAGACCCTAACAGATTTAATATTAAAATTTCCAACAACCCATGTCCGTCTAGCCCAATTCAACATTGAAAAAAGCCCTCGAGCGGATCCAGATAGGGTGGATCCTCAAAAGGGTACGGGAACACGGTAACGACGCACCACTGGGATGAGCAACAAGTGTGGGTAAGTTTGGCCGATACAACCCTGCCTACCCTTTCGCTGTCTATGAATACGTTCCAATCCCTCTACTGCGACTAAATAGCCTCTCCTTCCCCTGCAACCAGGGACAACCGTCTGTTGGACCGAGTCCTAGGAGGGGCAACCCCCCTCCTCCTCCTCTTCGACGGCTATTTTGGAGGAAATGTGGGTGTGGGTGGAATTGGGCTGTGTCAACTGGTCTCAGAATCAAATACTATAGTAACAGCTCTGATGGTAAGGGTGGTGGTCGTTATTGGTGGACCTCCTGAGTCTCATGGTGGTGGAGGGGGTCGTGAAAAATTTCCAAAATACCAACGGTAGGGTTGACCCTGGGTCGTATCGAGGCCATCCAGAAGACCATTTTACACACCTTGTTAAATGCTGAGCGTACTTAATAGTTTATCATGGCAATAAGCAAATTCGGTTCGATTTTGAATGATTGTCTCATTCCGAAGGAAAACTTCGTTTTCGAATGAACTTACTTTCGATCTCACAGGAAAAAGTTTGTTAAATGAAATGCTTTCTTTATGGCCGGTTTTTTTTTTCAGAAAGTGACCCATCGAATAATCTACGTTGATTCGTCCTAGTTTTAGAGACTATCGGGGGTGCTATCAGGTGCTGGTAAATCGTGACCTTTAATGCCATGCTGAGTAATAGAGGGAGTAGTGTGGAATGAAAACAACGAACCGTGAAGTCGTCCATGTTGACAAGCCTTTTTGATACACGCTACGCATCCGATCCATTCAGAAACGAGAGTGCTCGACAAAACTACGATGGATCTAACTCTTAGCTGACCCGACTTCACAACGCGTAACGTATGGATATGGTGCGAGGGACAGGAACATAAGGGCCGATGCAGAGTGCTTTTGAGATAATTTGATACATGAACTGAGGATCCATTCATTCAACCTTGTCTCAACAGGCTAGGTCATGTCGTCGTTCCTCTCGAGCTCGACGCCTATTTCAAGACAAATTGGAACTACCGTAACGCAGCAGCTTCAGGCAGGGTGGGCCACTTGCCATTGAGAGTTGGCTGAGACCATCTCCTTCAAAGGCCCATACCGTCTCCCATTTCTAGTCTCTTGCCCGCATTCTCCTTCAAGTATAATTTTCCTCTTCTTTACTTTGCTTTTTCTCATCTTAAAAAGTGGGTTCAATCACGCGTAGAGTAATAGTGCTACACATGAGAGGAACTGCTTGCAAACTCTTTACAGAAACACTTTAAGGCAGTTTTTTCAAGCAAAAAAGTTCATAGTCTTTGTAGTTATGAGAAGAGTAAAAGCGGAGACTGGCTGAAGGATAGATCCAATGACTTCTTACCTGTGAGTGTGAGCCACTGCTTTTTTGTAGGGTCGTTATCAGTTTTCGGGATTTTGGAAACAAATTTGAGTTTAGCGTCCTAAGACCTATACATCGGTGTACACCTTTTTGGAAATGGTCGGACTAAACGATTGACCTTTTCTTGTGAGTCCTACCTTTGAGTCCACCTTACTGAGAATGCGCAACTTCATTGGTATGCGAAACATAGGATCGACACAACGTTACTGTCATATGCTGCCGAGTAACACAGCCCGATGAAACTCAACCATACATGGACTACAGTATTTAGTGCAAATAAAAGGAACCATTGCGAGGTTCACAGAATTGTGAATAAGTTATGTTACTTCATCTATCTCCTCCCTAAAAGCATGCCGCAGGATCAATCTGACGCTTCGCACCCGATGTGAAAGTATTGGCTCGAAATGGGCCGACGGTGAAGAAAAATGGTAAAGAATTCCTCGGAAACCTCAGGTTGAAGGCTTCGTATTCGTTATAGAACACAAAGAGGCACCAAAATTTATTCCAAAAGAGTCCCAAAAGTTCACAAAATATTCAAAAACTCCAAAATTCCAAAAAACACGAAAAGTTTCAAAAAGAATCCTTTGAAATCTTCTGCTATATTTCGGTGTTTAACACCTTCTTCAGGCCTGAAATACATTGATTTAACCACTGGTAAAAACAATATGATGGTTTCCCGAACCCATATATGTACCTAAATAAGTTCGGAAAACCATCATATTGTTTTTACCAGTGGTGTAGGCCGGACGCACAGTTGGTCGACTGCAAGTGTCGCACAGGATTGGGTGCGTATCGATCTGCGACACCTGCGGTCGTTGCTGTCGTCCGACCGCTGCTGTCGGACGACAGCAACGACCGCAGGTGTCGCATAAACCGCGGTTGCAAATGGAAGGCGACGCGGTAAGTGTCGTAGATCAATACGCAGCTACTATTCCACACTACAGTGGGACTTTCGAAATACGATCACGCGCAGTCACGTGTTGTCTGGGTTAGCATTGGGTGACCGCGTCGCCTTCCATTTGCGACCGCGGTTTATGCGACACCTGCGGTCGTTGCTGTCGTCCGACAGCAGCAGTCGTTGCTGTCGTCCGACCGACTATGCGTCCGGCCTTAAATCAATGTATTTCAGGCCTGAAGAAGGTGTTAAACACCGAAATATAGCAGAAGATTTCAAAGGAGTTCTTTTTGAAACTTTTCGTGTTTTTTGGAATTTTGGAGTTTTTCGAATATTTGTGAACTTTTGGGACTCTTTTGGAATAAATTTTGGTGCCTCTTTGTGTTTTATAACATTTAGGTCCTGATGAGGCTCCGGGACAGCACAATACTGAGACCTCGTATTCGGCTGTGCTAAAGCAATGAGAGACTGAGCGCGGAGAGGAGAGTATGAGGCGAGAGAGCGCAACAGATGAGAGGGCGCCAGACAACAGCCTGCTACGGACGGCGACATTGCAGCTGCTGCAGCTAACTTTGCAACGCGCCGTCGCCCCTGTTGGGTTATCCAACAATACGTGCTCTATGCACGGAAGTCCCACATATATATGATTGTCCTCTGGCGCTCTATCGTACAAACCGAAAGTAATCGTTCACACGACTTTTGCCTGGACTGTGCCTTTAAGTTTTGCAGACTCAGTACTTTTTCCAATACATGACCTGTTCCTTTCCTAAAAAGCAGTTATGACCCACGAAGAATCCTCTACGTTTTTTTTCGGTTTC